GCTAACTGATAACACTCGATTCTTGCAAATTATTCTGCTGATGGTATCAATTATTAAAATGAAATAAAACGTTTGCAGATTTTTCTACATAGAACATTTGTTAAATTATAGCGCTTATTCTTTTATTATTATAATAACTTCATGCATAAAATTATTTTTTTTAATAATAATTCTTAGCCAGGACTTAACTAGGATATTTATATTTAATGAAGTTATGCTGATACCTAACTATTTGCAAGTTATTATAATTTATTGTACTATATGTTACTCTAATTAATTAATTCAGGAGAATAAAAGCCAAACGCAGAAGGTTGTACAACGTATAATTTTTATATATATAAAACGATAATAATAGATAAACGATAGACTGAGACCACAAGAACAATGTATAAGCGGATGAAATAATGAATAAATTTATGTGGCATTTATAAATATTGTATGAAGTAAGATTTATAATTTATAAATTTGTTTGGATATACTGAGAATGACTTAATTTAAGATCGAAATATTTATCTATTATTATATCATTGTTTTATATATATAAAAATTATAATAATGCACCAACATCGTTTTCCTTTTATGCTTCTTATAATTAATTTGATTTGTTTGGAAAGCCATTACATAGAAATTATATGTTACTCTGTTAACATATCTTTTTTTATAGAGCCTTGCAATAAAGTAAATTAAATTAAATTACATTGAATTAAAATTTCAAACTGAATTGCTTACGATAGAGAATAGCTAATTAAAAATATCGTTCCAGTATAATAAAACTAATTAAAGTTAAAGTTCAAAGAATTTTATTCAGTTCGCTCTAAGTTGACGTATATTTCAAATTACCATATCTGACAAGCCTTCAAATTATTCTTCATCTTTATCCTTGCCTTTTAATTGTATGTACATGAATCAAAGATTAGCCAAGTTACGTGATTTCGTTATGATAATGTGACAATCAACAAACCGTGACCTGAAAGTGAAATCTACAAAGAAATGAAGAAAATATTTTTAGTGAAGTTATATCATTGAGATTGGAACATTTTATGCTGATCATCGTGAATGTTTTCATTGTCTCTAACTTTCTTTCTTCGACACTTATTCACGCTAAATGCATCATTTATTATCTCGTATTATAAATCGTGTCCTCAACAACACGATCGCACATTATTTTTTACGATCGCTTAAATCCATACAATCGATCTACAGTACAGTGATCGTCAAGATCGGCTGCTACTAGCTGCAATAATAATAGAGTAATGATAAATGCTGGCACTTTTCGAATTTGAAAAGGCCAGAAAAAAGGATAGCGATTTTGACGAACAGCAATTGCAGAGTAATTGGTCGCTAACAATAAGTAGCAATAACAATGGAGAACCGGATGGAAATTGGTTGCGGATAATCAAATTTGGTTCAGCGTATACGATTTTGGCAATCAGACGTAAGCTACAAAATTAACTTTCCGAGCACTGCTAATTGCATCCTGCCCCTTCCGGATCACTTAGCTCCGCAACCAAATCGAGTGATCTAAACGATCAGTAATGTCTGTACGAGAAAGGACGCCGTCTTAATGGACTCTCTTTAATGGCCCGTCTCGATAGAATAAATCGAATGAATATTAATTATCAATTGATTATCATGATGGATGATTCAACTAAGAGGAATCTCGAGTTAATATTGTTTTGATATTGTTGATCGCTACGCGTTCGCAGGTGTTTTTTTTTTTATTTATTTCTAGAGAGCATCAAAAAGAGAGAGATTTATCAAATTAATGACTGGATAAGCTTGTTTGCACAGAGAACTTGAGTAATGTATGATACAGATTCTGACAAATGCGTATTAAAACTTACATGACTGCTCGCAATTTCTTTGCAGAGATACAAATAAAACTGAAAATGCTTTTCATCTAATGTCACATCAAGTAAGAATTAATTAACACATTAAGCGATTTAAGGAAAGAAGTAAATAAATCAAAGCAATTCTATTATTGAAACAAGATAAATCGAGATAGAATAAATGAAACGGTGATTGAAAAGTTATGAGAAATGACGATATCTTTTTGATCTATTTTTATTGAAGAAAAATCAATTTTAACCCTTTGATGTCATACTACATGAACACACTTAAATATGACATACTTCAACCCAATTTGATTGCTTGGAACTTTCATAAAAATGAATATATCGTAAAGAATATTTTCAATAAAAATATGTAGTTATTAAAGAACATAACAATACCAAGTAAATGTACGTATCTTTATTCAAAAAAGTTATAAGCAGTAAAAAAATATTAGAAAAACTACAGAAAAAAGTTTGGACATATCATACTCAGAATGATACCAAAGGATTAAATTTGTTTAAAAGCTCATTAAAATTAAATTCGTGGATGACAAAATGTTCCATATACCTATTCTAAAACGACAGGTAATGAATTCTTAATGTTATCGTCACGCAATTGAAGCTTCGTTACTTTCGATATCTGATCGGAGGTTCCTTCACTTTCGGATGAAAGGTCAATCGATCGGCAACTTTCGTGGTGAACCGTGGCACGGATGTGCGACTTATATTATTACTATTCTCTTTCTTTTTGTTTATTTTTCTTTTCACACATATGTCACAGACTCTTTTTAACGCGCGTTACGTTCGGAAGTGCGCGCGAGAAATGAAAGACGAGAGTACGAGACTGCTTTCCACCGCCGATATCACCGCGACTCGCAATGCGCGACAGCGAGCTCGGCAGGTGTGACGGCGACGAGCGAGCGCGACATGGGTCGTGTACCCGTAACTTCTTTTCGATTCGAGTCATGATGGAGGTCCTCAAGGTCTACCCCGCGCTTTGGCATGCACACACGCATGCATATTGCGCTTTCCGTCAAGAGCCCTGGATTCCGAAGGTTCTTGATAATCTCGATTCTCAATGGCACTTTTTACGACTTCCGTCGCGCCATCTCAATTGAGGAAGATCGATTCCGGACGTAGAATTGTGGAAATCCGGCGATCTCGTAATTAGAGATGCGAATGTTATAGCAATCGCACATTCGGGAACGTAAAATTATCTCAGTCGTAATTCTGATATTAAGATGTTTTAATTAGATCGTGATTATTTGTATTTAAAAAAAATAGAGAAAAATATAATAAGATATAAATAAATAAAAATGTTAATCCCAATCTGGGAATATTTTGTTTTACTTTATTGGATTCGCAGGAAGATTAGCGTTAGAATAACTTCTTTTATTTAAGGATCATGTTAAACAATTTTATAATTATTTTCAGATTATGTTATATAAAAATGTTATATAAAAATAAAATAACATTTCTACAAACTGAAAATTAAGATCTTTTACTAAAAAATCTAGAGCGCGCCAAATAATATTTATCATACATCTATTAATTAAACGACGTAGACGTTCGAAGTAATTCGCTAATCACTTTCAGAAATATAAATAAAAGTAGAGATGCTTGCTTCTCTAAAAAGTTCTTTTAGAACTAGGAATTAGTTAGTCATTTTTTTCTCACAAATAAAAAAAATAGAGATTGATAGATCTTTGAGACGATGCAAATTCGTGCGAAAAATAGTTTAACCGCGTTTAAGACAATTGTCATAGTGATAGTAATCGTCACAAGATCGTCGCTGAACGTGACTCGACGTTTTTACACACCTGATGTCAATTTTCACAGTCGTGCGATTTATCATGTAAAAAAAGAAGCAACAGTAACCTCGACTATCTGGTGTTAACTGGAAGAGTCTGATGGCGTCATCATGAGTTTCGCACTGAATGTTGCACACCCATAACACATATACGTCAGTGACAATAATAAACCGAATCGAACTGGGTTTAGATACGATAAAGGTGTTCTTTGTGTTTAATATCGAAAAAAATTTGCCGCACGAAATTTTCTACCATTTAAAATAAAATCTGGATTCTTCTCATTCTCTGCAAAGATCTCCCAAGCTATATCTCCCATGCATATTAAATATTCAATATGATTTTGTCAACAACTCAAATGAAATAATTTGCATTAATCGATTGTGCTTCAAATTAAAAATTATCTCTTTCTCCTTTTTAATTAAAAAAATGGTAATTTAATTAAAAATTTATAAAGTGTATTGATATTCACTGCATGTAAAATACTTTGAGAAATTAAATTATTATTTTCCTCTTCTTTAATTTAAAAAAAAAATGTTTCAAATTTTTTCAAATTAAAAGTGTTTAAGGGCGCCAATTTAAGCATTAAAAAAAAAAAAATTAATACGTATATATAAAATGAGATATGTATGAATTGATAACGGTTTTGCTTAATTAATTTCGAATGTTTGTACGTAACACACACACACACACACACACACACACACACACACACACACACACACACACACACACACACA